CCATCCCTCGATCATTTCACTCACCTTTGTGTCTCGCCTCAAAGTTCTCCACATAGTTGACGGCGTTTGGTGGAATTCCTATGGGAGATTCATGCGCGTCTCTAACGTAACTGCATTATAAACAAGGCATTCGATTGCTACTCACTGTACAGCTTGATGGTGCCATCTGTGTCGCCCAGCGAGTTCTTGGCCACGCAGCGATACGCTCCGAACTCGGCCTGTGAGAGGGGATTGATGTGCAGTTTCATGGAGCTGCGATAGGCGGCGATTTCTGTCACATTTGCCGAATATTTGCCGCCTGCAAAAATCGTTTGCATAATTCAGGAAACAATAATCAACTAATTAAATGTAATTGAAATTTTGCGTTATGAAATACAATAATTAAGAGCATGTCACGCGCACTGCCCGAAAAGTAGGTAAAGTGTGCAAAGTGTCGTTGACAGCAGAGCTGGACTGGAAAATTAATGCATGAACTTCATGAATGGCAATAAGCTGGTTGATAAGGGGGTGGAGGGGGCGTCGGTCTTGGCAGTTAAGAGATAGGCCAGAAACAAAGTGCAAATGAAATTTATTTATTTACATTTATGGCAAAATGGTAAATGTTAAATGAGACAATTGAGAATACGCTGGAAGGCAATGACTGACTGGGAGATACAGTGGACGGAATAAGAGGGAAGAAAAATAAATATATATATATTTTCTATCAATTAAGCAAAAAAATAGTTTTTATAAATTTTTAATAAATATTTGCGGCTTGGGGTATTGCTGTTGGACTGAAATTAAATCAATATATTTTATAAGACTATGAAATATAAAGGCTAGCAAAAACTTATATTAAGGGAAGAGAGGCTTTGGAATCAAAAAATGTCAGAGATGGTTAAAGGGGATATTTAAAGGATTTAAAGTCTAAGAGTCTGCTCAGTATGTCTTCGAGATATTGATGTCTCTCCTGGCTTTTCCTGATTTTAGTGCTAGAAGTGGCAGATCTTTTGACTGCACTTAGTACTATAGCCCAGAGAGTAAATAGATTTCCCCCTAGTTACCTAGGACTTAATTTTGAAATGTTCCATTAAATCCTTAAATATATATATGAAACAATGATTTAATAATAATAATGGACTTCCCATTTTTAATGGTTTCTGGGTATACAAATTTTGGCATACGTTTAAAAAATTGTATAACAAATATCTAATTTGAATTCCACCGGAATTATTCTGGTATTCTCCAAGATACCCTATATACCCGTTCTAAAATGCATCCAAGGTACAACAAGTCATAAATTGCTCTTCTCGACGCTGCTGTTGCCGGCGCTCAGCTTCAGCGGACAGACACACATGTCCCAGACAGAGAAACCGCTGAAGTGTGGCTGGCAAACGTCATTAGGTCTGGTTTGGCTGGGAGTCCCCTATCCGGGCTCTATGTGTGTGGGTCGGTTTCAAATGTAATTCGCACTCGTATTACTAAATCAGCTAATTAAAAAGTTTTTTCGCGCGAGCTCTGCACTCAGCGGTCATCAGCTGGTAATTCGGTTTGGGTTAGCATTAGCCGGTTAGGGGGCGTTATCCGTAGGGACTCTACAGCAGACACAGACAGTTACAGTTACAGTTACAGTTACAGTTACATGAATGGACTGTCGCCTGTTAATGCGTTTGTCGCGGATTATGAATTGCTTAATGATAATTTTCATTAGCATATTTGACAGTAAAATGTCAGCAGCTGGTCGAGAGCTGGAAAATAGCTGAAAACTATAGTTCGTATTTGGTATTTCAAATACACATGACTTGGTTGACTTTAATTATAGGAAAGGCTGTCGAGGCATTGTTGGAATCAATGACATTAATAAATCGAATTTAATGTATACAAAATTAATTTAGAAATTTTTTGTTTTCATAAATCCAGAAAAAATGTCACAGCTCTAAACGGAATATTTTTGGTATTTTAATATATTTTGGGTTCATATCTCTCATTTACCTGGTGGCACAATTTCTCCGCGTTCCCGTGTCCAGTAGTTGATTGACTTGGGATAGGCCTCCGACTGGCATTCCAGTGTAACGCCCTTGCCCTCCACGGCGCCAATCAATTGATTCTGCACAGTGATCATGGGAGGAACTGAAATGAAATAATAGATCATTTAGACTATATACAACTTGTTCATTAGTTTTTTAGTCTACTACTTCTAGTTTATATACTTACAATGCACAACGAGAGTTATCCTCTTGCTCACTGAGGGCGGCACTCCATTCGATGCAATGCACAGATAGGCGCCCATATGCTGACGCTTCACTTGAGGTATGATCAGATCAGTGCCCTCAATGCTGGCCACTATTTATAGGAAACATGCGAAAGCAATGGAATCGTAATTAATATTATGTAGTTTCATTCCATTTTCGATTGATTCGTTATACTCGCTCTCTCTCTCTCTCTCTCGCGCTCTCTCTCTCTCTCTTTACTTATGCAGGCTACAACTGTTTGTTTCTCGCATCAGCTCTAATAATATAATTTTGATATATAAAAATATAGAAATACTGAATGTAGACTACTTTAAATTTACTTCTGATTTTTTAAATGAATAAATTGTTGTTAAGTATATACATACATATTATACAATACAATAATAATTTTCATTTAAGTTTAAGGAAAACTTATAAAATTTTCAGCGAATTATTCATTTTATTTTTGACTCTGCGAATTAATCTGGTTACATATATATATTTAAAAAAAATATAAAATAAAAATAAATGAAAAAGGTAATATAAGATCTATAAAAATAACAAATATTACAATATTATATACCCATTAAATTATCCAAATAAAAAATTGATTTCATGATTCCAAGCAGTGCTTGGCCAGTTATGAGTCAAATTTGTCTTGTCGCTAATAATCCTTTCCATGCAATTACAGCAGCTGTAACTGGAAATGTGTCTGCTGTGTGTAGCTATAGAAACTGTTTAGCCATGTAATGATAGTTATTACATTTAGCTAAGCTCTTTCATGCATTCGGGGTACGCCCAACTAGTAGTTGGCCATTCAGTTGAATTTGCACAACAAAAGTTGCACACAAAAGCGCAAACTTTTAGCGACTTTTATGATGCTGGGCACCCCGATTGCGAAGTGGCCTGCACAAAGGACGAGGCTGGGCGTGGGGGAATTAGATGGGCTGGCTGCAAGCTTTACGCAAATATCCTGTTTTGATAGTCGAACTCGGTTTTTATTATATAAATTGCATAGTAGTTGGTTGGCTAAGCCGGTAGCAGCCCAGACTGCAAGTGCATCATGATCATGATATGGTTATGATGTCCTCTATCTTTTTGCTTGTGTGTGTGTCTGTGTGTGTGTTTGGGTGCAACGGAAACGGAAGTGCTGGCTAGTTTGCGCTTGATATAGTTATGCATGAGGTGGGCAGCGGATAGCGGTATATACTCCTACGGCTAATAAGCTGATATTTCATTTATTGATTTCACTCAGGTCACAGGTCGACGTCTGGCGTTCGGCTTTAATGTGGCCATAGAGCCGTCCCGTTGCTTATTAGCCACACATTTTGTGCGGTCATTAAACGTAATAGCCACGAAAAAACGTGTAATTTTGTTGAAATGAACAGCAGCGTAGCGCCACGCTAAAACAGCATAAAAAAATATACAAAATTGGAAAAACTACAGTCGGGCGCCACGATTTCATTTGAGCAACCAAACCAAATAATCAAATTTCAAATGAAAAACGAAACTTTTACCGCGCAAACGATGCAGGCATTTTGAAAACAAAAAGAACTTCGTTATTGCTTTAAACAAAAACCGCACTCAAAATACGCTTTAAATTTGCATAAACAGCTGAAGGCTGAAATTATTTTCTTTAATAATATAATAGGAAAAATTATGTAGTATAAATATATACATTTATATTTATATAAATCAAATATCGTTTCTATTTTTTATATATCTGTTGTTTATTTATTTGTGATCCTCTTTTATTAAGTAACTTAATTTAATATATGTAAGCCGATAATAATAAATTTTCTACCTTTTTAAAGTGTAATATTATATTTAGTTATTATTATACGAATTAATTGAATTCATACAAATTCAACTAACATAATTTTCAATTTTCAAACACCCTTCTGCAAGCCATCCGCTCCTATATACACATACATACATACATGTATAATGGATAAACATCAACACACAATCATTTAGAGCAGATTATAAAATGCATACGGGGGGCACTTCAATGGCACAACTGAAAAGCCCTCTATAGGGTAGCAGACATTTAAGCTCCGGTGAAAAGGTCATTTTGCCAACTTTTGTTCTATTAATGCTGATTTTTTGACCACTTCTCGTTTTTTTGTTTTGTACTTCTTTGTTTTTGCATTCCGTGGCTCTACACTTTTTTTTTTGGTGCTATGGAACCTTTGATATCGGCTTTTCGTGTGGGACTTTGATGGGGCTCGACCTGTTTATGTGGCATAGCTCATGCAATGGACTACACTGAGCGAAATTAATAGTCCCTAATGAGTAAGCAGCTTAAGAGAGCTTAGTTGATGCTTGCCAGCTAATTGAAGCAGGAATGCATTCACAGAGCCACAGCAGATGAAAGAGCATCAAGATGCAAATGCTAAGCATGTTTATTCATGTCTGATAGTCTGTGAATAACAAGAGACCTAAGAATGAGTGCTGTGAATATTGCAAGAGTAAAACGAGAAGAATTTCTATGAGTTCGCTTGGATTCAGACGTATTTGCTTAGAAATGTTATAGTCAAACATTTATATCTGATTTATATCATCATGAATATAAAATATCTATGAAAATATATTCTTTAAATTTTTCTTTTCAGTTGAAAGTTAATTCAGAAATAATTTATTTTTTTAATTATTTTTTTAGTGTCTATCTGAAATGTATAAGTTTGCTATTATTAATGAGCGAATACATGAGTATATTAATAAGTGTATTCATACAGGTATTTATGAGTATATTCAACAATATATTATAAGGTAAAGCGACTAAAATTAATGCATGAAATTAAATTATTGATTTTTATTTTATTTTATTTATTTTTTAATACATGAACATTATATTATATATGAGTATCATATTATTATGCTCAGAATATTTAGAATATTATCATTTATTCGTTTTGGAATGCTTAAATTTGATCCTTTCTTTTTAATCAAATGTGATATTCATAGAATCTACATATGAATATTAAGGATTGGATATTGGATGTTTAATGCGTTTATTTCTAAACGTAGTCAGAAGCTCTCATATGAACACATAGATCTCTAGAAGTTCTTTATAAATACATAAAGACCACTCGTATATTTACTAAATTATTGTCAATTTTAAATAATTTGAGTATAGTCAAGCTACCATCATAGGGTTTACTGGGCTGCATAACAACTAAATTGCGCCAAATCAAATCATCGACAAGCAATTGAGTTCTTAAATTTGGAAACACGAGACCCATTCGAGGCCAATTAGAATAGCGATGGTTAGAACATGTGTAGGCTCGATCCGCTGGCCACTCGCTAATTCTGTCAGTGCAGCCGTCAAACGTCATCATCGGCATAAGCTGGGGGCCGGCTACGCGTCGACACCAACACATCGGCGTTCGCGAAAATATGCAGGTTTGCAAACAGGCCGGGAACAGGTGCTCAGGTGGTTTGGCCACGTAGCCCCGTAGCCACGGTGCCTGTGCCTGCGCCTGCCTGTTGTGCACTTGTCTGCTGGGCCATAACCCAGCCGTTGGCTACCTTTTTGTGTAAAAGTACTCCAAAATGTTGGCGGGCGAGCCTCATGCAGCACAGCCGGCATTCGGCAGTCGGCAGTCGATGGCAGCGCAACAGCAGAAAGTACTTACCACTCACACATACACACACACACCCACACACGCACAGACGTATATATATAATTATACAACTGTGGGTGTAGAGAGAGAGAGCGAGAGAGAGTCATGCATGCATATGACCATGACGATATTCCAAACCCAAAAACTTTGCCCCTTTGCTGACTTACCCTCCTCGCCGTTGGCCAACTCAATGGGCACTCCACTTTCACGTCGCCATGTAATTGTCGGCTCTGGTGAACCGGTAGCAGCGCATTTGAGCGTCACGTTGCTGCCCTCCCGTACGACCATGTCCGTGCTTGTAGGATAATCTAGGATATCCGGCGGTACTGCAGCAGCAGCAACAGCAGCAGCAGCAGCAGCAAGCGGGTTTGGCATTCCAATCGAGGCCGCCAGACGGTCGACGTTGCAGATAATGTTTATAACAAATATATAAAAAAAGAAGAAGAATGCCATTGCATTATACATGAAAAGAGACAGAGAGAGACGGAGAGAGAGAGAGAGAGAGAAACATATATAATATGAGCTGCATTCGTATTGTATTTAAAAATGTTTTCTTTATATTGCATTTAAATAATTTGCACTCATTTTTCACTCAGCTGGCAATCTGATTCATATTCATGCGTCCCAAAAGATATCCTTGCTACGGCACAAATGCATCCTTGTCTGCGCCTTTGTTCAAAAGGACAAACTTTTCACACACAAAAAAACGTAGAGAAACAGCAAAAAAAAAAGAGAAGCAAAAAAATTAAATATACACGTAATATGACCACGACCACAGCGGGCAATGTTTGCGACCTCAGCGGAAAACCTATGAACCAGGAAAACGTAATAATGCCGTTGAAATACCAAGAGGGAAAAGGGGGGAGAGAGGGTGCTTTGGAACAAGCCAAATGAACAATGAAGGCACGGCTGGAGAGCGCTGGGCAGGGCAGGGCAGGCAGTGGGTGCAAGGGGGAATAGGCGCCTGTTGTATAGGGATATAATATGCCGCAATTATGTGGTCAGTAAATGACCAAAAAATGTGCTGGTGTTGACAAACAGCTTGTTCTACGGGCAAAAAAGGGAGCAACAGAGAGACAGAAAGAGAGAGACAGAAAGACAGGGAGAGAGTATACAGCTCTGACGTATCCAACTGTGCACTCGGCACTGCGCTAACCACTGAACGGTCATTAAGTGGCCAAGGTTAGAGGTGGAGCAAGGGGTAGACCGAGGGCTTAAATGACCAGGGATCAGAATTCAATAGGACTTGCTTTGAGCAACGTAAGGCAACAGTCGCACGGACAAGCGATTGCAACGAACATACAAGGGGTAGGAGACTCTAAGGTGGAGAATATAAAGGAAAATGCAATGCCTGAAGCACCAGAAAGTCGAAAATAATATAATATATTTTACATATTAATCAATGCTGCTACAGAAAACCAATTTGTACGAATTTCGACTGGAGTCATTGAGCATGTGACTGAGGGAGGAGTGGGGAATAAAAACGAAATAATGTGCAATGCTTGAAGTACTTTATAGTATCATAAGTATATATGCATAAATTAATTAATGATTAACAAAAAATTGTACAAGTTCTCTTAATAAATCAAGGAGCCAACATTTATTGATATATTATTTTTTATATTTTATATTTTATATTTTATATTTTACATTTTACATTTTACATTTTATATTTTATATTTCATATTTTATATTTTATATTTTATATTTTATATTTTA